GTAAGTACAAAACTGAATTTTGTTAAAAAGGTACTTAACCAAAGCATAAATGAAATAAGGCAGTAATAGTCAAACATGTCCTATTCATAAGTCTGGAATTCTTAGTGCACAGGTGACCAGCCTCATTTAATAAGAGAAAAAACATACCAACAAAAATTTGCCTGGTGGCAACCTAAGAACAATCTTCTCATAGCAACAACAAAAGGCTTAATGTGCTTTCTAAAATCAAACTGGTTTTCAAAAGAATGGGTCTTTAGTTTGGGGAGATCAAAGTTGTGAAGTGTTTAGAGAAAGAGAATCTCTGGTCATAAATATATGATGAAACACACTTATGAGACAGAAGCCACAACTCAAGAACAGAACGTTAAATATGAAAAGGCAAATTTGAAAATACGGAGAAAGACAATTATACACAGTATCAATAAACATCTTACCTGTTCACAGTAAAAGGCTGTCGAGAAGGCTGCTGCTTTGGCATACATATTATGCTTGGCGAGCTTCTGTTGGGGCTACCTAACCCTGAACTGCTCATGCTATTTGTCCTGCTAGGAATTCCAATGCCCTGACCAACCTGGGAGTGGTTCATCATATTCCTAGGATTCATAGGCAAAATACCCCTGAAAAAGAAGTCCATTATGCTAAATAAGCTCTCTACAATTACCATTAAAAGTCTGTAAAAAAATCAATTGACCTAATCCTAGAACTTCAAGTACAGCTTCAAATTGCATTGGTGATTTTTATTAATTTAATTCTTTTGTCCAGTCATTCTAGCTCTTAAAAATAAAAGCCAAAGTAAAACCAACAAGAAAGAGCAAATTATAATGGAACTAATATATGGCGATATCTAAGATGAAAGAAGTACTACTGTGGCTATGACATAAAACAATACAGATGTATTTCACACATATACTAAAATAATTTCATTCCAAATGTATGTCATTCTACATTCTTCATACTAATGAGTCATTTTGGTAATCTACTTTTATTTTATTCTCACTAGAGCAATGGATGTGTGGCAAGGGAGCAATGATCAGAATTATCTGAGGATTGATTCTAAATTCCACATCCTCCTTTGAAGAAGAGAGATGGCTTGTGAATAAGCCCCAACTGCCCCCACCCCACCTTCCTGCAGGTTAACCTTCGATACCAACCAATTGACAACCAGTATGCTAGGTGTAGAATAAAACATCTTACACTAGACTTAAAAATTTGCAATGAAATAAAATGAGCACAGGGTATCAACTTTTCCTCAGTGAAAGGCTCTGAACCATTCAGTTACCTTATGAAAAAGCTAAAAAGCCTGCTTACTCTACAAAGATACATTTTAAGAAATATTCTGGTCCATCAATAAATACCTGCTTGGAGAAGGAGGCGTGTGAAGTGACATTGTTGGTACCCCTGTTGTTGGCGTGACGTGGCTCGGTAACTGAGTGCCTTGTGATAAGCTGCGATTTAACTGAGGGGTATTGTTGCTCATCCCCCTCATTGGAAGGCCTAGTGCACCTATTAAAAAAATTCAGAAGAAGGAAATTCACTGCCATCAGGAATGAAATTGTTACCCATCTTCTGGAGTTGGTAATGTAAAACATTTAAAAATTACCTAACATGTTATATGCTAATTTTAAATGGGTATATTCGATTCATTCCAAATGGATTCTGATTTGAACAAAAATAATGTTCTAATCTGAAATTTAGTATTATAAATGGAGATTGCTTTCATACTGCTATCTTTTCATATTCCTATTTTACAATAAACTATGTCAATGACTAACAAATTAGGTGACTTATGTTCAATAAAACAATTTATACAAATATGCCTAAGAAATTTGCAATCATGTGTTTTTGTTTTAAATCTTAACTGAAGTATAGGCATTTAACCCCACTTTGCTGAAGTTTAACTTTTTATATGATCCTGTTAAAATGCATTTAAGAAAAAATCTCTTTACCACTATTTATACATACATATTGATACATCTCAACATTACAGTTTTTACAAGCACAACATACAATGTAACTAAAAACTCAACCTGATATAGCTATGAGATAAAAATTTTAAATATTAAAAAAAATTCAAAGTATAATCACCTTCTATTATTCCTTGGGCCAGATGAAAGGATAAATGTGTTTAGATAGGTGTATTTTTAAAGACTACTACTGAGGGTTTACTATTCAGTTATAAAAACATTTAAAAAAATTAACCAATTGGGATAAACTTATTTTTAAAATGTATGACATATTTCCTACCTTTTATTAATATAAAATATAAATAATTATTGTCTTAATGATTCAGATTAATTACCATGGATATCTTATGAGCCAGACGTCTATTTCCCCTCTTTTATACCTTAAAGTAGGACTGTTCGGATGTAACTTATGTTGTCATTGTATCTTTCTATGAATGAATGCCTCCTTGCCTCCATCCTCCTGTCCCACACTTTTTGATGTTTTCTGTTTACTATGAATGGCACATCAGTCAACCATGCTTATTCTAAACTGCAAGTTAAATCAAAGTGTTAAGATGGAGTTAGAGCCAATGAGTGCGCAGATAACTTTAGTGCTAGGAATTTCAAGTGACTTTCCCCTTCCCTGCTTTTGGTCTAATTTCACATCAAAAAATCACAACAACCTGCATATTTGGAAACTGTGACCTTCAAAAAAAAAATGGGAATATACATATATGCGTGCATATATTTATATAATGTATATATAATGTTCTGAATGTTTCCGTCAGGTATCTTTGCAAATTTTACCTTCATACATAACTATGTACCACTTTCTAATGTAACAATACCAGTGGATTACAAAGATTTCAGTGGAACCTGCTGGCCTCAGTACTCAGCTAGCAGCCTAACTTTGCTTCTCAACTGAGTAAAGCCAATGTACTCAATATAGCTACCATAGTTTGTGTGTATGTACTCTTTTCACTCTTGTTCCATGAAGACCCAACTTTGGTTCTGCATTTCTGTAAGTCACATGAAGAGAAGTGGCCTAGATCATATGTTGGTTTAGTCACTATGTATGTATGTCTGCTCACTACAAGTTTTGTGATCATGATTACATCACTGGCTGTAGCCACTTTCTCTGAATCTGGGACAAAATAAGAAAGAACAAGAGATTAAAAATTGATTTATATATCTTCAGAAGAAATCAGTCTTTCCATTCTTTCAAGCGCAGAGTTTTTCCCTATAACCACTAGATGTTCTGGGTAATGAACCACATCACTCACTCAAAAAAACATTTACTGAGTGCCTGTTATGTGTTAAGCAGAATGCTAGCTAGCTACTGGGGATATAGCAGTGAACAAGATAGAAAAAAAACCTTCTATCTTTGGGGAGCTTGTGTTGTCCTGAAGTCAGTCACAGCTGCAAATTTCACACAGGAATTTTTTCCTCACAGTGACCAACCACCAAGAAATATACAATTTTAGAGCCAGAAGGGACCTGTAAGATCACTTAGCCCAAAGTTTACATCTTATAGATGAGGAATATAAGCCTCAGAGAAGTAAACTTCTCTGAGGTAACAAAAAGAACCAAGACTAAAACTTACAGCCCTTTGAGAAGCCCAATATAACGTTAAATTAGCACCCTTTTGAGTGCCTAGTAATTTTAACACCTCTTACTATTATTTTTTTCCTCTTGCTTTCATTTTTTGAGCGTTTAGTTTTCTTCAAACTTTTTCAAAACCTTCACCTCCTGTTTACTTCCCTCCATTTTCTTTCTCTTCTCTATACCTGTTAAATTTTCTTTCCTCTAGTTTTACTTTACCTTTCCTTTTCACTCTTTACACCTTCTTCACTATAAATATGCACTTTCCAAATATCTAGTACCCTTAGGCTTCACAAATTATTCTATGTTGCATTATGAAAATTTGTAACTTCAGAAACATTTTAGATTGGAGATTATGTGAACATTAGCAAAAAAACTTTAGAGAAGGAAATAATGAGTAAGGTTATGCAGTCAATTAGGGATTAGCAAATGAGTTAATTTACAGTGCTGAGAGTGGAGAAAGACTATGAAATAAACTGAAAGATTAGCATTTACTTTTATTTTTCCTTCGACATAGTTAATTTAATAAAAACAGCTAATAACAATGTCTGACTTGCACTTCAAACTCGATAGGTACAAAAAATCAAGAGCAGAAAGGAGTGTATTGATTTCAAAGTGGATCATCAACCCTTGAATACTTGAGTAATGTTAATTTCAACTTAAAAGTCAAATTCCTTTAAAACATAAACAGTTAATGTCACTGAACAGGAATATACAAAGATTTACTTCCAGAAGACAAAATATACCAAGTCATTTAATACACTTGAGTCAAATTATAATTGGATATGGATGGTCAGGGGAGGGAAAATTCACTTTTACTATTTTAGTTAGAAAAATCCAAAAAAAAATCATCTCTAAAATAATTATGTCAAGAAGACATGTAAGCTGAAAAAAATGGCTCATAATTTTTTTGTATAATGTAACTACAGAGGATAAATATAAATATGTATACATGAGCTTCTATAATACTGGGGGGCAGTAGAATTAAACTTTACCAAGCACCTAATACCCATGTGTCAAGCACTATGCTACTTCAACTCCTTTCTTCCTTGTAACAATCCTATAAAGTAGTTAACCACTTTTCACAGGACAGGGATAAAAGCATGAAAAATAACAACAACAAAACTGTTAAAAAGCAGTTTGAAAAGTCCTAAAACTGTTTTGAATCAAATTTTTCTTTCATTTTGACAAATTGATAATAAACAGTAATACAGTATTAGGAAGCATATATGAACATATTCTAAATACAATGCTACTTATTTGGCAGACTGCTAGAAAAATCAAAGAATGAACTAAATAAATTTTTAAATACTTTTATTTATTTACTTATTTATTTAATTTAAACTATTTTATTGTTGTTCAATTACAGTTGTCCGAATTTTCTTCCCACCCCTCCCCCTCACCCCTTCCAAATCCACCTCTCTCCCTTGCCTCCACCCTCCCCCGCTAGGTTTTAAAAACAGAGAATGCTTCATAAATCTGCGTGTCATCTTTGCAAAGGGGCCGTGCTAATCTTCTCTGTATCATTCCGATTTTAGTATACGTGCTGCCAAAGTGAGCACTAAATGAATTCTTTATTAATCACTTTTCAGAACTCCAAAAGTATATGATCTCAGAAATATTTCCATGAATTATTTCTACTGCACAAACTGATTAAAAACACCTCTTAAATACTTATGGCAAGATAGGCCATGCTTTTATTCAAGATTTTGCTAAAGATAAACGATATAATAGAATACAAATTATAAGAAAAAATTCAATTACTGCAACCAAATCCTTGAATATTCATACTTTAAGTCTCCTGAAATCTGTCTTAAAGGAGGCAGGAAAATCCCTAATTGATGCAAGAGGGCCTCAGGGTCCTCCTTCCCATTCTCAAAGACAACTACTTCCCGTAGGAACTCACTTGTCCTACCCACACTAACAAAGGATGATAACAATCTTCTTCTTACCTCCAACCTGTCTTTCACTTAGCCAATTAAGCTTCCCTCTAATATTATTTCATTATGCAATTTTCTTCATTAAAATAAAAAGAGTTTAGAGACAGAAGAAATTCCAGTTATCATCATTCAACTAAGTTATAGCTGGAGATCATCCAAAAAAGTTATAGATAAAAAACTAACACCAAGCACTAAGTGACATGCCCAAGACCAAAAATAATGAAGAATAAAAATAATGATACAATTTCTTGACTCCTATTTCAATCTTTTTTCAACCAATCACTTTCTACTTCTTAAATATAGCAGTTGCTAACTTTTGCACAAACTGGGTAACTTCAATGTCTGGGTCCCATGCGCAGAAACTGTGACTGAGTCTGGGTCTGAGAAATTCAGACAGTGGGATTTTAAAAACTCTCCAGGAGTTTCTGAAGGTGCAGCCAGGGATGAGAACACCTCTTCTATAGTATTAAATACCATCACGGTTTAGTCTTGGAAATTCTGTCAAGTTCAAAAAGATTCTTCTAATCTTTATTTCATTCCCCCGCCCCAGCTTTAATGAGATATAACTGACCTAAGTCATATAACCTAAGTCTTCGAATCTTAGTTAATACACTCATCCCAATATATACATTCTTTACATACCACATGACACAATCTCCTTCCTTCTCAATCCCTTCCCCAGCTCTGCTCCTGAAACTTTTATCACATCCTTCTCCCCACCTAGAATATTTTCCCTTCTCTTATACTACAGAGACGCAAAAGAATATTTAAAAAATTAAAACTGCTATAATCGAGGTGTTTACATGCAGTATATATATATGATATGCTTAGATTTATACACGAAGGATCATGAACTCAGACTAATTCAAGGAAAGTAAAATGGATATGTAGATCAGAAAATGTTGGCTCATTTGGTTGTAGCACTGTCCTGAATATCGAAAGGTTGCAGGTTGGATTCCTGGTCAGAAGGCATAGGAGAGGAAACTGATCAATGTTTCTCTCTCTCCCACTCCCCCTTCTTTCCTTCCTCCGGAATCAACAAACATATCAAGTGAGAATTTAAAAAAAAGAAAATGTTTCCTGGAGGAGATAATACATAAGTTAAATAATGCAGGAGACCTAGCCAGGTATTTCGTGGTGGTGATGAGGTGTCAGATGGAAAAACAGGCTGCAACAGGTCAGTCTCAGAGAACAGCAGGATATATGAAAATGAGGATAAGTAACATGACTTCTGTGTCTCAAGATGTATGAGACAAGAACCAAGGATGGAACTAAATGGCTTCAACATCCTCTATAACTTATAACCAACTATAAGAAGTTGCTATGTTAGCACTAGCCAAGTCTTAGCATTCAGCTGATCTTTACAGCAGCCATCACTCTACCTGTGGAACAGATGTGTGAAACTCCTTTGTATACATACTTTGTAACCCTCCTCAAACTAAGTGTCCACATGGATTGATGTCACCCATTCACAAAGTAATACAGGTCTCAAACCTTAGAAATCATCTTCTTTGATACCTTTCTTTCACATTCCACACCACAACATCATATTAGATCTATCACCAAAATACTCCAAATCCAACCACTTCTCAACACCTCCACCACTCATCCACACCGTTCTATTTTTATTGCTTGAACTACTACAGCAATAGCCTTGTCTCCTCTCGTCACTTGTTCCTTCTCCTCTACTCAGTCCATTTTCTCAGTCCATAGCCAAGTCATCTTTTAAAACTGAAACTGATCCTAAAATCTTTCCTATCACACTTAGACTATTTTCAAATTCTTTACCAAATCTTTACAAGAGCCTATTATCTGTCGCCTGCTACTACATTAACCTTCTACTGACTTTGTTCATTATACTGGGCCTCTCACACTTCCTTTAACACATTAAGTTCATTTTTACATTCTCATGAGTAAGAACTTTTGCATTTACCATTGTCTGCACCTAAAAAGCTCCCTCTTAGATCTTTCCCAGGACTTCCCCTTTTCAGCATGCAGGTTTCCACTCAAATATTACCTCCGCAGAGACTGTCTCTTTGCCTGCTCTATATAAAATACTAATCCCACCCACTCGTACATTAACCTGACTTAATTTTTATTAGTACTTACTACCAGAATCATATTAGTTGTCTATATGCTTATTCTGTCTTTCTCCATTTAACTATAAAATCCATGCCAGCCCTGGCTGGTGTAGCTCAGTGGATTGAGCGCGGGCCTGCGAACCACACGATCGCGGTTCGAGTCCCAGTCAGGGCACATGCCTGGGTTGCAGGCTGGTTCCCTGCAGGCCAGTTCCCAGCAGGGGACACACAAAAGGCAACCATACATTGATGTTTCTCTCCCTCTCTCCTTCCCTTCCCCTCTAAAGATAAATAAAATCTTTAAAAAAATTGTTTAAAAAAAAAAAATCCATGCCAGCGGGAACTTTGTTATCTGCCACACCTTTTTTAAATCTCAGAATAATACTTCACTCGCAGTAGGCATTCAATAAATAGCACAGTAAATCCTATTGCAATGCCTTAGTCAGCAGCTTCTTGGAATCTGTGGATTTAACACATATAGTTTCTACTACATACAAATGGCCTTCTAGAATCATGACATTCAGTAAGTACTATGTAGCATACACATTTCAAATAAACTTAAGTAAACTGCTGTCCTCAATTCATGTTCACACAGTTACACTTACAACCTAGTATATTGCAGGGTCTACTGTTTACTATCTATATAACCTTGAGCAAGTACCTTATTCTCTCGGTGCTCTGTTGTGAAGATTAAATGAGTTAATTCTTTTAACATACTTAAAATAGTACCTGACACTCAGTAAATACTCGTAACTATTAGCTTGAGGATGGGGGCAGGAAAATGAAACAGGTATATGGCTAGGAAGTCAAGAGGTTGTCCCTAAAGGTAAAGATAAAATAAAGTCTAATAAAGTGACAGTCTTCATCAGAAAATAGTTGTTTTCTGAGAGAAAAGTATAGGCTAGAGCTGTGTTTTTGAACCTGGAAAGTAGCAAAGGTCTTGAAGTATGAAGACTGTACTTCTTAACTGAGACCAATGTGAGATAGGTTTCCTTAATAAACTAGAATACTCCCAAATACAGGGTCCGGCAGAAGTAATGTCTGCTTGAGTGTCATTGGGAGGGTAATAATATGGGTGTAGTAATTTATAGCTTTAATTTGAACATTTCACCTAAAATGTCATATGGTGTGCTTGAGGGTGATATTGTTACGTTATGGAATTACGTGCTTCTGATTTTGTAATAAAAAAGGGGCATTATTTGTGCGGACATATATATCTCATTCCATGGATGTTGTTCACACTACTAAAATAACCTTACCCACTGTTTCACAGAGAGCCAATGTCAAAAATGACCCCAACTGTAAATCCTTTCCTGATCATTCTCCAAGATATGATATTACTCCTGACTTTGGAATATCCACTGAATTTTGTACCTCTTCCTCTATTTTGTTTTAATGTAACGTGTACTTATCCTACTATATTATATGTAGGAACTGTATCTTCCTCACAATTCATCAAACATTTACTGAGTGTCTGCCATGTTGAGAACTAAGAATACAAAAGCAATGAAGACATACAATAAATAAATGCAGTAACACCACAACAGTATGTATACTACATGGAGATGGCATAAAAGAGAATGATCTCTTCTACCATGCATCTACAGTACCTAGTATGGTATAATATATATGATAGGCACACAGTAGGTACCTTATTAAACTCATTCCTACATCCTGTCTACGGCCATACCACCCCGAACGCGCCCGATCTCCTCTGATCATTGCTACATCCTATTTGAAGCTTTCCTGTATCATTGCAGCTTACTGTGATTTTCTCTCCAAGCTCTTGAATACAAGATTCTAAGTCTGTCCATAAATAATTAAAAAAAAAAAAAAAAAAAGGGGTATTGTGGGGGGGGGGGGTTTATAAAAAATAAAAAAAAACGTTTATGATTCAACATATCTTTTAACCTATGTATTAGCATTATAGGCTGTTATTTAATATTTTATATACAAATGTCTAGACTTCCCCAACTGTAATGTGTGCTTCTTGAGAGCATGAACTCTCACAGCATTCAGTGTTAATTCAAGTACTTATTAGACAGTCTTCTAATTTCCTGAAGCTACCAAAATGTACCAGTTGTCTAATTACATTATCAATAACATCATCTGGACCACCCCAACTATGTTCTGGTTCTCTACAAAGTAGCTTCCACATAGATGTGCTCAAAGCAGAGGACCAAAAGGATGTTGTTGAAAGCATGAGACTGCCACTGCTCTCACATCCTGGAAAGACCAGTTTATTTCCTTTTCCAGCAAGAGGCCTAGGTCCTAATTCAGATACTAATATGTAATAATGGATTCATCCAGATAGCTAGTTTACCTATGTGTCTATGGTAACAGGCATATAGGAAACACTCAGTAAACAGTAGTTTCCTTTTTCTCCAATCCTCCAAAGTTCTCATGTTGCTAAGTAAGGAAAAGTCACTTCAGCTATACTAACACTAATTTCAATGTGCTGAATATCCAGAAGAAATTAATTCCAATCTAGTAGACAGCTTCAGGGACACCAGGCATCCCCAAACCTGTTAAGGTGTACCT